GCCGTGGATGCTCGAGGCGGTGGGCTGGAGTGAGTTGCCGGGGGGCGGACGAACTCGCTGCTGGCCGCCTGGGATGTGGAGGGACGGCTGCCGTCCATAAGGGAGCGGAGGAGCAGGGAACGGGGGACTCCTGCCGGCTGCTCGAACCCGGAGGAGCTGTCGCCGTCCACCAGGCGGCGGAGGAGTGTCGGGCCGTCCACCGAGGGTTATCCAGTGCCGCCACCAGGCATCGCGGAAGAGTTTACCCAGCTGGTGGAGGGCCGAGCGGCAGTGTGTCTGGGAACCGGAACAATATTTTATTTATTTTTTTCCTCTCTCCCCTCTCTCGTCTCTGTCTCTCCTCATCCTTCCGTCTCCTTTTCTCTCACCTCGTCTGTCTGTCCTTACCCCCAGGTATGCCGCGGCCGCCGTGATCGGCTCCCCTGGAGGGGGGAGGGGGGAGTAGAGCGCAGTCTTGTGAGTACTGCCCGGCCTGTGAGGGGCGATGGGGGTATGTGACGAGAGGGGCGGGGCCGAGAACAATGGGAACGGAGCGAGGCCGGTGGAGGAAATGCTAATGCTCGACACCTGCGCCACTCACCGGTCTCGAGTCCCACGGAGGAGCTCCGGAAGGATAAAAGGAGGAGTGACAACAGTGTTGGACGAGAGAGGACCAGGCCTGGACTTTATTTTGTGTCTGTTTGTGCGCAACAGTCGTCCGCGAGGGGCTGTCGTGCTGTTTTGTGTTTATTTTATTATTAAAGTTTTCTTTGAGTGTTTGCTGGTTCCCGTCTCCTTCTTCCCGTAACTACGAACTGTGTTACACCACCACTGACCCAACCTTCACCAGCTGCTCCACGATGTTCACTGTCCCCCGTAGACTTGTCTTGACCCGTTTTTACTATTTTCTGGAAAAACAGTCATTATATTGTTTCTATCATGTATGTTTGATGTTTTTCTTGAAATGTGTGTGAAAAATCTTTAATAAAAAACTTCCCTTTATCCCGTTTAATAACCATACTACGTTTCACATTTTAAAGTTTAAAGCACATAGTTTTTAACATTTTCAACGGCCCCACACACAAAAAACACATTCCCAAACAGTCATAAATTCCTTTCGATCGCTGGGGTGGATAAACAGATGTCCAGTTAGATGGGTGGGGGGTGTCCAAACAGGTGTCCAGTTATGGTGGGAGGGAGGGGTGGGATTTTTACGAGGGGGCAATAAATACAATTTTGACACTTGGTGTACTACCATCTCTCTATCGTGGATTTTGAGGTGTGTTTAGGAATATTATCCATTTGTAGTAGCCATCCTCTTTTCAACTTCAGGTTTTGTACAGATAGTGTTATGTTTGCTTCCAGAATTTGTTGGAATTTAATTGAATCCATTCTTCCCTCTACCCGTGAAATGTTCCCCGTGCCATTGGCTGCAATACAACTCCAAAGCATGATCGATCCACCCCCATGCTTAACAGTTGGATTGGTGTTATTTTCATGAAATTCTGTGCCCTTTGTTTTCCAAACATACCTTTGCTCATTGCTGCCAAAGAGTTCCATTTTAATCTCATCGGCCCACAGGACATTTTTTTCCAAAATGCATCAAGGCTTGTGTAAATATTCTTTTGCAAAATTCAGACGGTGAATTTTGTGGTGAGGATGCAGGAGAGGTTTTCTTCTGATGACAGTTGAACAGTATACCACAACTCCAGAGTCTGCCAAATCTTCCTGGAGCTCTTTTGCAGTCAAACGGGGGTATCTCTCTGATATTTTTCTTGGTCTTCTAGACCTTATCTTGACCTGTTCCTGTTAACTGTTCCTGTTAACTGCCATTTCTTAATTACATTCCGAACTGAGGAAATCGGTACCTGAAAACGCTTTGCTATCTTCATATAGCCTTCTCCTGCTTTGTGGGCATCAATCATTTTCAGAGTGCTAGGTAACTGCTTAGAGGAACCCATGGCTGCTGATTGTTGGGACAAGGTTAGAGGAGTCTGGGTATTTATAAAGCTTTGAAATTTGCATCACCTGGCCTTTCCTAACGATGGCTGTGAACATGCCATGACCCTAACAGGCTAATTAAGGTCTGATACCTTGGTCAAAGTTATCTGAGAGCTCAAGTCTCCTGAGGTTCCCATTCTTTTGCAGGGTGCTGCTTTCCCCTCTTTCACTCTAAAATTGTAGAAAACAAAAACAATATTGTTTTTATATATACAAAACGGTATTGCTTATTGTTTCATGTTTAACTTTATGCCTTTTGGAGATCATTTCATCTTCCACTTGCTTAATTGTTCACATTAACAGAAATTTTGACCAGGGGTGCCCAAAGTTTTGCATGCCACTGTATGTGTGTGTATGTGTGTTCAGATGAAATTACAAAATTAATTAAAGCAAAGCCATTCATAATCTATGCCATCTAGGATGAAGAGAAAAAAATGTATTAAGGTGTGGTGGTCATCTTACCCTACTTGAGTGATGCTAAAAGCAGGTATAGGGGTAAACAGATCAAATTAGCTCAAAGGGAATTATTAATTAATTTAAAGGGGAATTTGAAAGAATCGACTCTTTTCGACCAAGCAATTGAATCGTCCAGTGCTCATTTGAACAGGCCGTAACTGTCGGCTCTGCAACGGATACTAATATCCAACATATAGTGAAAACACCATTCTTAGCACGGTAACAAGAGCGGCAGATTAAGGCAATAAATTGATAAACATAACACAAGACACTTCTCTTTAAATACAAACGAGACTTTATTGACTTATCTAACACATACAACTAGCACCTAACACAAACACACACATTCACACGAGTTGCAGAAAAGAGGGAAAGTGAGGAAGAAAGAGTTTAAGAGAGTGAAATGATGTAATCCCAAGTTTTGTAAGACCTAAGTGAACCATCAATCAGTAATTCAACCCTTCTATCATTTCTAGGCAGGGTTATTAAATCAAAGCTATGCACCAGTTCAGCATGAGAGGCATTACTTGAATTTGTTGCGTCTCTTTGAATGGGGATTCCTTCTGCGGTGTCCATTGTTGACGGGGTTCCCATGTGGGTTCACTGGTGGTCTGTTCGTCGCTGGCGTGATGTCTTGGGAGGCCAATCAGGTTGTGGTGTTGGCCAGTGGAGCGGAGTCTCATGGTCAGTTAAAGTTTGAGGCTGGCAAAGACTATAGGCGTATAGACTGCGGCTTAGCGGCGAAGCTTAACTTAAACGGGGCTCTCGACGGAAAGAAAAGGAAGAAACTAAAGAAAATAAATAAATTAGATGGGATGTTGTCCGGTCTTAACCCATCTTAAGATGGGAGAGTCTGAGACTGAGTCTGAGTCTCAGTCTGGATCTGGTTCTCTGCCTCTTCTCTTCTGAGTATTGGGCTTTAAATCCAGCTGATTGTTCTGGCCCCAAGTGGAGCTCTGACCAATCAGGTATTGTATTTGGTTCAGGGGGTGACTGTTTCTCCTCCCATTACTGCATTATCAGCATGTTATCTCTTAGTCACGTGGGCTCCAATTTTCCTGCTTTTAACTGGGTACAATTTAAGCATGAATTTTATAATGTGAATGTGATTCATTTTACACAGCTTTGATTAACATCATGATTAAAGAAATTAAAGGAAGAGAAGATAAATCTCACTCATACCAAACAAGATACACTTGCGATAAACCATTCAATAGTTTCATATAATTGAATTGAATAATGAATTCAATAATTTCATGCGTAATGCATGATGAATGCCTAATGTTCACATATATGTGTTTCAGACATGATATTGAGTTATGCAATGAAATGACATTTGATTATAAGCCCTTTATCATCGTTTTGAGGATGATCTGATGCATTTTAATATTTAGTGAGAGTTTCTGGGTTTAGAGAGGATTTGGTGCTTTAAGGCAAGGTCTGTGTTATCTCTTTGTCTTGAGTGGGGAAGAATCACCAGGTGTTTAGCTCATGAATTTCTTTGAGTCACGCTGTGCTTTTGACCATTTGTTCTTGGTTTGAAACAACATAAATTTGACCAGTTATTCCTTGAGTTGAAAGGGTTTCTTTGTTTGAGGTTAATTAAATTGTGGGGGAAGTTTGTCATTCTCAGTCCAGATGGTGTCACATGACCTGGATTGGGGTCGTAAAGTGTTGCTTTGTAATTTGGCTCTGCAATTCTTATCAAATGATTCTGATCAAGTCATCTGTTGATTCAACCATTGGTGTCTGCGTGGCTCATCTCCTACAGTGGAAGACAGCTGAGCATGTTCCATTTTTGGTTTTATTCATGCTTTGTGTAAAGAGACATTGATATTGGACTTCATAACACTTTATATGTTCTCTTGCACAGTTATTACAGCAATTTTACACCAGGTAATTGCATTACAGAAGAATCCATTCTGAGATATTCATAAACCAGATATAGTTGCACAACATATGTCCTAGAAAATTATCTACAACATTTTTTAAGCCACAGTGCATTATGGGGATGTAACTATAAAGTAGAACATAGTGTTGCCTTGTAGTATCTTTTCCTGGTGCCTAAAAAGCATGCTACCCAGGATTACATGCAGAAAGAAATCAAACTGATCTCACAGTCACAGTCTCAAGAGGAACATGCCATTGTTAAAGTTTGACATGGATGGTTTCTATTTGGACATAAGACATGTAACAGTAACAAGAATATTTATATTTATGGGAAAACAGATGGAAACTGATTTCAAAATGTGGTTTTCCTGCTATGCTGATCACACTTCATTAATGTCAATTCAGAAGCTGACAAGAGCATGGTTAAAACCTCAAGATCAAATATACAGAAGATGAGACAAGACACACATACCAAAGTTCTGACTCTGAAGATCTTTGACAGTGTTTGTGACGCATCCATCTGTCAGGCTGATCTACGGGTTCTGAGACTCTTCATGTTGCCGTTCCAGCATTCTTGCACAGCGCGGACATGTGGTCGAGTTATCATAGTAACAATCCCTGAGATAGACAGCCATATCACAATCAAGAACAAAAGCTAAACTTAATAGAACAGAACAGGTACATGAATGCAAGCGCTTCTAAACACAAGCTTGATTCCGTGCATTACTGCATTCTTTAATGTGCAGTTCCATTAAGCAGTACAAGTACACTGCTTGAATTACAAGAACTTTGAAATCTCAGCATTGCCACAAGTGGGATTTTCTCTTTAAGGTCAACTTCTGTCATGGCAAAGCACCAATGAAGAGAGCAAGTTAGGAAGAGTCAAATACATTTACTGTATATCAAGCGGGCATTTGCTATAACAAGGCACATACATATGAAGGTCTCTATTGCACTCTTATCAAGATTTAATTACAGACATACACACATTATGTATGAATAATGGGACTCCTTGCGCTTGCAATTATCCCTTAAAGGAATAGTTCACCCAAAATTAAAGTCATTAAGTAATTTACTCACCCTTGTGTTGTTTTAATGCCGTATGCTCTTCTTTCTTTTTCAGAGCACAAAAGGAGATTTTTTTTTAAATGTACCACGTCCACAGAGACCAACGGTCAAGGTCAGGATATTCATTAAATAATGTTATATTTTTTTTTATTGTTTTTCACCAAAACCTATCGTATACCCCCAGAACATTAGGAATATATGGCATGTGTTGCATGGGACCATTCTGTGATACTTTTGCGTCTTTTTTGAAAAGACGCGAAATCGCTATTCTCTGACACTATTCACTGCCATTATATGGACGAACACGCACAGGAGGTTTTTTATTTATTTATTTATTTCTGAAAAAGAAAGAAGGGCATACGACATTAGAACACAGGTGTGAGTAAATGATGACTTAATTTTCATTTTTGGGTGAACTTTAAAGAATTCCGTAAATTATGTGCTTTAGATTCCTTTTACTAATGACATATTTATATGTCATTTATGTCATATCTTTATATGTAAATCTATTTTAAAATAAAGTATAATTTCATCAATCAGATTCTTTCTGATTATTGCACATTGCTGTAGTAATATAGGTCTGTTTTCTCATAGCCACGAGAAAAAGATTTTATTCCCTTATCATGGGATCTCAAGGTTATGACTTCACATTCCATGGCCACAAGATAACGATGTGGTTATTTTGACAAAAAATTTTTATGGCCTCAAAAAATATTTTGTGAATTAAAATTTAGCGAACCAAACCTATCCCTTCCAAGGCCCCATAGCAATGCATATGGCATGTGGCAATTGGTATTGTATCTGATGTGTTCAAAAACAAACCTGTGGAAAACAGCGAAGCAGTCATGACAGACAGAGGTGTGGCTGTCGAATGGGAAGAGAATGTCACCCTCTTTACACAATTCACACATGAAGCCTTTGGCCTGGCATTTCTGATTGCACAAAGAAAGAGAGAGTTAAGATTAAATCAGATGCTGGCATAGTAGCACACTCACACATAGCTGAACTAATTTTACATCAGAGGCTTCTCACTTTCAAGGGGTCATACCATGATCACATTAGACATATAATTCAGAGAATAT